GAGTCACCTACCCCTTAATCCTAGGGTTATTAAAAAAAAAACAGGCCTATGATCACATTTTTCTGAACTCCACAGCCCCAGTGAGCAAAATGACCTCTCCTTTTCTATGCCTTTCCTGCTCTATCCCATAAAGTGGCAAGGGAGCCTCTGGGATTCATTATAGGAGGAAAAGAGGTGAAGAAGAGAAGGAAGGTGGTGAGATTGAGAAAGGAAGGAAGAGCAAGAAGACAGGGAGAGAGAATAAAGGAGGAGGGAGGGAGGGAAAGAGAGAGAGAAAGGGGGATAGAGAGAACAAGAAGTGGAAGAGACAGCAAGAAAGGAGAGAATGAGAAAGAAAAAGAAAGAGGGAGAGGGCAAAAAAAGGAAGGAGGGAGAGAGGAAGAGAAAGAGAGAAAGGGGGATAGAGAGAACAAGAAAGGGAAGAGAGAGAAAGCAAAAAAGGAGGAGGAAAAAGTAAGAAAGGGGAGGAGAGAAGGAAAAAGGTTAGGCAAGAAGAGAGGGAGCAAACATGAGCAAATGAACTCCCACCTGAGGATCCCACAGCTTCTCCATTTCTGCCCTCCCTAGCTCCATTTTGGATATTTCTCAGAAACAGAGTCACCCAGAATTTCAACATAGCACCCTGCTCTCCTCTGCAGTCCACAGAGTCCTCCAAAAGCACCACTCTAAACATCTGACCTTCCAATTGTCCCTGAAACATGCCTAGAGGTGTGGCCTTTCCCTCCTTCCTCCCCTCTTCAGGCTATTCCCCTCCCTTCATTCATATACCCCTTCCAAGTGGTTCGCGGGGTCACCTAGGCTTCTAGAAATGGAGGCGGAGGGAAGTGGCTGAAGCCAGAGAATAGCTGAACTGAGGGGGTCATGAAAACCCTGAACCACTGCTCACCCTAACAGATGACACACAAAGGCATCATCCAGAAAAATGTTTTTGCTTTTTGTTCGATTTATTATCAGGGGATTGAGGGAGAGGGAGAACATGGTAAGATAGAGCACTGCCCCATGATACCAATAAGGCAGGAAACCTACTGGCAAAGGCCAGTTTCCCCGACATACCCCCAAAGCATATCTACATAAGAAAATTTACACAGGGTCAAACAAAGGCAGAGAAACATACATAGGCCCTCCACATAAACACACACATGCATACACACTCCCACCCAGACCTGGGAGGAGAAGTGCAGGTTCTAAATCTTCAACTGGGCTTAGCCATAAAGCCATTCTCCCAAAGGAAATTCAACGGCCAGACAAACCTCTATCAGGGAACAAAGATCAAGTAACTATTGTCAAATGGCACAAACCTGGCCTTAGGAGCAACCTCTGCCCCAGTTCCATTGACTTCTCTTACTCTAAAAAGCCAATACTTATAACAATAATAATAATAATATCAATATTAATAATAGCTAGCATTTAAGAAGAGCTTTAAGGTTTGCAAAATGCTTTTAAAATATTATCTTATTTTTCCTTACAACAACCCTAGGAGGGAGCTACTGTTATTATCCTCATTTTACAGATGAAGAAACTGGGGCAGACAAGGTTAAGTGACTTGCCCAGGGTCACACAGCTGGTAAATGTCTGAGATCAGATTTGAACTCTGGGTCTTCTTGACTCCAGATCTCTTGTTCCATTCACTTGGACACCTGGACTGTGAGCTGCTCAAGGGTGGGGACTGTCCTTTTCCTTTCTTTGCATCCTTAGGGCTTCATGGAGTTCCTGGCCTATTGCTGGGGCTTAATAAATGTTTACTAAGTGACTGACCTAGCAGCCTCAATCCTAGCTCTGGTTTGTCCATCTTCCTCTAGGGCAACAGGAAGCCCTGAACGACTCCAGGGCTCAATGACATCCTCGAATCTCTCTACTGCCTCCTAGACTTCATACCTTGAGTCAGAATCCATCCCTCACTGGGAGGACAAGGGTTAATGAGCTAATACTCAAAAACACAAAGCCTCCAGTGCACAAGGTACAACAAGTATGATCAGGCACCAGGAAAGAAAGGAGTGGTAGAGAAGGAGTAGCTTGGGCTGAGGTGTAGAAATGCTCCATGGAGTCTGGGGGAGGGACAAGATGACCTCGGGGGAGGGGTGCAGAAAAATGAGTTGGCAAAGGGAATCTATGATTCAGCCTCACACAATTGTCCCTGCTGCACATCATAAATGGAAAATGCTGGGTGGGTAACGCAGCATACCACACAGCTGCACATAGAAGTTGAGGAGGGGGGTGGGGGGAAAGAGAACGCAATCTGAACTCTGTCTCAACATCTGTGAAAGTATGCTGTGTGTCAACACCCACTACAGACTTCTAGCCAAAGAAAAAATGGTACAAACAGAAAACTTTTCATTTGCAACCCACTCCCCCCAACCTTTTTTTTGGACCACAGAAGAATCTTGCCAGCAAGAAATCATACTCAGGCTCAGAGAGAAATGAAATCTGGGAAATGGGGAGGGTGGAGCTCTTTAAAGCCCTGGGATCTCCCAGCAGAGAATGACAGGGGTAGCACCTAGAAATTCAGAGAGGTCAATGCTGAGCTCATGCCCAGGGGCTAGGGGAGTCAGATGAGGCCAATGCCCCTCCAGTCCTCCTTCCATGGTGTTTTCCAAACACTATTAGGGATAGGAGCAGGGAAGTTTGGAGTGGGGGAAATGGAATAGGAATAGGAAGATCGCCATGGGTACCTCAACACCTAGAGGCCACCTGAATCCAGGGGTAGCCAACCTATCCTCGGGTTATATCCCAAAGTCCCCACTCTCTGGCTCTCCAGAGCTCAAAGTAATTCAGTTCCACATCTTCCATTTCCAAACCTCCACCTCAGACTTAAAGGAGCATATGCATACAAACTGCCCCTGTCCGACTCCATTTCCCCTATGGAAAACTAGGGAGTAGGATCCGCTGAGGTTCAGTCAGGGTCAGGTTCCACTGACCAGTAACCCACCAAAGGAAAACTTAGAGAGACAGCCTGGGTACAGACCGTCTCCTGGCAGAAAAGGCTGGGAGGCTGTGCTAAAGATCTGCTTGCTCAATACAGAAAGAGGTTTAAATGCATCTCCTGTCAATAATCAACTGGGGAGATGTCCAAGAGAAAATTATTAAAAGGACCCACCTGTAGCAGGCACCTCAGTCAGACCACTTCAGATTCCAATTAATGTAGAATCTTTATGTGGCCATGGGGGGAGGGGCTGTCTGGTCAAATCCAGCAGCCTTTTAGTTAAGCCCTTAGAAGTAGGGGACAGAGGCGTGCTGCCCTGCACATCCACGAATTCACCCAGGCACATCTAAAGAGGCAGCTCATTGGAGGGGCCACAGAACTGAGCTAGACACAGCAACCATGCATTAGGCATTTTCCAGAACCATCCCAGCTGGAGGAAAAGAAAGTCCACTTATCAAATGAAAGGCAGCTTAGCATAGCAGAAAGGGCTTGGAGTCAGAAGAGACCTGGGTTCAAATTTCACCTTTCATCTTACACACTTACTAGCTAGGAGACCTTGGGCATTTCCCAAGGCTTTCCCTGGTCTTTTCCAAGGCTCCATTCATTCATTTGCAAAATAGGGATAAAAACACCATAGAGGCTTGGAAGGGTAGTCAGGAAGTTTACCTGAGATGATGCACACCTTAAAGCACTAGATATTATGTTGTTGTTATAAATATTGATATTATTAATAAGTATAATGCATGATTTTAAATTAATAATTAATAAAAATCATTAATTAATAATATGGTTTTCCAAAAGGAATATCCTTTGTCAGACTCTGTTCAGTTGTGTCCGACTCTATATGACCCCATGGACTTGGTCTTGACAAAGATATTACAGTGATTTACCATTTCCTTATCCAATGTGCTCCCAATTTACCAATAAGGAGCTGAGGTAAATAAGGGTTAAGTAACTTGCCCAGGGTCACACAGCTAGTGAGTGTCTGAGGCTGAATTTGAACTCAGATCTTTCTGGCTCCAGGCCTGGTGCCACAGACCCAATTAGATGTCCTTTTGTCAGATTACATGTCTTATTTTCGGTCTGAAAAATATGATGAACATAGTGCTAGGTCACAAAGCTTATACAAAATGAGATTATTTGTCCAAAAGCACTTAGCACAGTGCCTGGCACATAGTAGGAGCTATATGAGTGATTGTGCTTTTCCCTTCCTCCTTCGTGGAGCTTATAGGACCATCTTCCCAAATGGGATGATAGAAGACCACTGTACTTGCAGTCAGGAGTACCTGGGTTTGTCTGCTAGTTATATTACACTTGCTAGATGTGGCTCCCTGGACAAGTAAGCAATTTGTAAACATCAAAGCAGGGAGTCAAGGTACGAAGTCATAAGGGGGAAGCAGGGCACAGGTAGGTAGCACAGTAGTCAGAGCACCACACCTGGAGTCAGGAAGACCTGAATTCAAATCCAACTTCAGACACGTACTAGTTGTGTGACCCTGGGCAAGTCACTTAACCTTGTTTGCCTCAGTTTCTTCATCTGTAAAATGGGCTGGAGAAGGAAACGGCAAACTGCTCCAGTATTTTTGTCAAGGAAACCTCAAATGGAGTCATGGAGAGTGAGAAACAACTGAACAACAACACTAAAACACTAAATAAATACCAACTATTATTATTACCAATAGTACAGGATTGCTGTGAAAGTGCTTTGTAAACTTTAAAACAGCAGAGTAATGAAAGCTATTATGAATAATAACAGTAAAATGTAAACTATTATAATTTTCTTTTAAAAAATTGTTTTGATGGTCGTTGTGATAGAATGGATCTCAAGAGCTGACCTTGAGTCCTGCCTGTCATACGTAATGACTGTGTGACCCTAGGTAAGCGTACAACCTTTCCTCTATCAAACTCTCTAAGCCTCTGAGGTGAAAAGGAGGTGCCAACCTGCACTGATGAAGGGAATTCCTTCCTCCAATGCACTATGGTGATGTCTAAATGAATACTAGCCAACAAAAATGAATTATGAGGACTTGGGATAGGAAGTGTAGAGAGAAGGAAAGGGGAAAAAGATGTCTTTTCTTACCTTGTTCCCAGGAGATCGAAGCAAAATAAACCGATGCTTCTTCTTTAAGAGAGCTCGATAGTCTTGGCACTTCTCATAGCTTCCCAGTTCTACAGTCTCTATGCAGTTCTGCTCATCCTGGGGAGAAGGAAAGAAAGGTGATCACCAGGTTAATTAGAGGATGAAATTCTACCTTAGTCCCAACTCCTGCACATGCGTGCGGCGCGTGCACACACACACGCACGCACACACACACGGCTGGAGCTTAGGAAGGCTAGCAGTCACCCCTAGGGTGCTATACGTAAGAAGAAAGGGTAGTACACAAGAGAAATTTTAAAGTATTACTTTTTAATAAATGCACAAGTTTTACATCAAGTATTTACTGGTGGAAACCTCTTGAGTTCAGAGTGAAGTTCAAACTAGTGAAGGTTCAAAGCTACTGGTGGACGATTATGAACAAGGGGTACAATTTTCAAACCTGGCCAAGCAGGTCTCTACATCATGTCCCTTAGACTGATATTGATGAGATATGATGGAGCAGGCACAGCTGCCCATGGAAACAACTTCCTAGGGATGTTCAGCATCAAAGGTGACCACAGCATACTGGCTTTCCCTGACTTGCAGATTCTTGATTTATAAAAGAGCTCTGGGCAGGGGGACTGGCTACTGAAGGTCCAATAAGAAAACAAACATTTACAGTATGAGTTCTGAATAGCAAGGTACACCACTGAGCACTAGAGACACAATTCAGCATAAAGAGGTCTTGCCTTTGAAAGCCTTACTGCCTAGGTGGGAGACAGGATATACAGGAAAAAAAAATAGTAACAATAAGGTAGAATCCTAGAATAAGGTAAGAAAGAAAAAAGGAAGGAAGGAAGAAGAGAGGGTGGGAAGGAGAGAAGGAAGGAAAGAAGGGTGGGAAGGAAGGAAGGAAGGAGGGAGGGAGAGAGTAAGGGAGGGAGGGAAGGAAGGAAAGAAGGGTGGAAAGGAAGGAAGGAAGGAAGGAAGGAAGGAGGGAGGGAGAGAGAAAGGGAGGGAGGGAAGAAAGGAAGAAAGAAAAGGAGGGAAGGAGGGAAGGTAATTGAAGCATTTTTTTCAATACACAGAGGAGAACAAAAGGAAGGCCAGAAAGAAAAACAAACATGAAGGACAGCTTTGAAAGTTACTTGTGGGTGAAAAAGACTATGCACTTCCAGACAGAGAAGTGAAAGACTCAGATTAAGAAATTTTTTTTTGAGGGGGAGACATGGTCAAATTTGTTTGGCTTGATTATACATGTTTGTAAGAGGGGGTTTTGTTTTTCTTGCTTTCTCAGTTGGGAGAGTAACAGGAAGTGATAGGGAGAGAAAGAAAATCTTGATATGAAAAAAATTAGTTTAAAAAAGTTTATATGTCAGATTTATTATATACTTTAAAAGCATGATGTACATAAGAGAGTTTCACAGTCCCTAAAATGTCGGCTCTAGTCTGCAGTTTCACCACTGGGTCCTCATTAACTTATTTTACAGATGAGGAAATTGAGGTAAAGAGATTTGCTCAGAATCACTAATGCAGTTAGTGGCAGAACCAGAATTCAAACTCAGCTCTTCTCATTCCAAATCCAGCGAGCTTTTTCATATGCTATATGGCCTTTAAGTTGGTCATTGAAGGCTTGGTGAGATTTCCCTAAGTGAAAGTGGAGGATGGCATTCCATACAGGAGAACAGCATGAGCAAAAAGGGGGGAGGGGGACATGGAATGACTAGTGGACTGTAAGTCTTTCCACTAACCCACTTGGTGATTCCACGGTTCTGGAGTAAAACAGTTTCCCCTGAAGAAGTGTGGAGAGATTAGACACTGACACTGATCCAGAAGCTGCTATGAAAGTAGAATTAATACCTGCTCCAGGGAAGAAAGTCGACTAGGGATAAATGCAGGACTTTTAGAGATCATGAAGTCCTGGGACTTTTGGATACATTTCTGGGAGTCTGTGGACTTGAATGGGGAAAATATCCCTATCTTGATTCAACATAATTAGCTTCCTTTGTAATTTTGCTTTTTGTATTTAAAAACATTATTTTGAGAAGAGGTCTGTAGACTTCACCAGACTGCCAAAGGGGTCAATGACACAAAGAAAGTTAAGAAGCCCTGATATGGTCCTACTGCCTCATTTTACAGTAAACTAACCCAGAGAAGGAAAGAGATTTGCCTAAGATCATAAGCCAGCTCGCAAACAGCTCCATTAGCCAATCAACTAACAACGAGCATTTATTAAGTGCCAAGTATGTACCAGGCACTGTTCTAGGCACAAGGGAATAGAAAGACAAAAAGACTCAAAATAGTTTGGTTGGCCCTCAAGAAGCTTATATTCAACGGGGTCATAGGGTGTGTTCTGGAAGACTAGCACCTCTCGTGTGAAGGCTGCCAAGCCCTTTCCAGGGCTGCTTTCCATGTTTGGTGTCCACCTGTTCTACCTAACACTCACCTATGGCTCCAACAAGCTATAGCATGTGCAGTGGCCACACCCCAGCAAACCGTTTTGGCAGACGAGCTAAACCAGGTTGAGGATAACTGAGTGGTCTCAAACGCGTTGGTGAGTTTAGGGTGGTGTCTACCGCAGACATGCGAAGACTTCCCCTGGTAGAATGGGCAGATGAGAACAATCTGTTCCAATGGCCATGAAGGCAGCTGATGCAAGCACTGTGGAGCTTGGTTAGACATCGAAGACGCCAAGGTCATCCATGGCATCTTGAGCCACCACCAGTTGTCTTGATTCTATCCTACCAGTACACTGTGATGACTGGAGGAGAGAGTGGGCTGACAACTTCCAATTTTCGCAAGAATCAAAAAACATCACCAACCAACCAGTATATTCAATCAATTGATTGAATTAATTCAATCAATTAATTTGATTAATTAATCAAAAGGACTTCACCTTGGGCTATCCCATCCTTGGGTCTCTTGGTCATTAGGGCAAGGGCAAAGACTAACAGTTCTGGGGACCAAGCAATGATGGGAATCCTGAGGCCAGCTCTCCTAGAAGAGTGTCAGCCACAGGAAGTTGTGCCTTTAGTGGCCACACGTCTCCCTGAATCCTCTCTGATTAAAGGAAGCATCAGACACCAACAAAGAGTTGGCAGCCTTCACGCCCAATCTCCCCCCAGACTTCACTGGCAGTCTCCTTTTTGGGATTCTCACCGCTTCAGGGTAACACCACCCCTCCCCAAACCCACAAAAGAAGGAATTAGGGAGGTAGGGAGAGGTTTCTAAGGTCCAGGAACCAGAGAATTTAACCTCTCTCTCTCTCTCTCACACACACACACACACACACACACACACACACACACACACACACACACACACACTAGTTAATTGGTTTATCCCCTGGGTGTGACTAAGTTAAAGCATTCTTCCTGGGTGTGGGTTTGTCTTCCCGGAGGGAGTACTGAAGTAACAGAAGCAGAGCTGGTCTGGCCTGGAACACACTGAGCCTGGGGCTGAATCCTCTAGTAACCCCGGCACCCTAAAACAGGCAGCAACTACCAGCCCTGCAGCTGAGACTGGGTACCACAGAGAGAGACAGCAGGAAACAGCAAAGAGCCTGACTATTTCTAGATCTCACTAACCTGAGCTAAGGATTTAAGATGCAGTTGTCACCCTTAAGGTATTGCTGAGGAGATGCACTGATATGTCTTGATAATTCATGTGGAGAAGTTTATATCTGAGCTGCTTTGTTGACATAAAAAGCTGGTTTTTCAGTCTTTAAGAACACTGTTGCTGCAAAGTGCTCAAGGCCTGGGAACCTGTACCACACCTGTCCAGCATTACCACCACCTCCGAACTCAGACTTATGTGCATCCTCCCTTCTTGGCTCCACTCTACCTAGGCCTATCCTTCAAGACCTAGCTAAAGTCCCCCTACCCCCACCCTGGAAAGCCTTCCAAGACCTCACGAGTCCACAGTGATCTCTCTCCCCTATAGCAATGATGCATTCCTTATTTGGCATCTGGGGAAAATCAGCACATTATGTTTTACAAAGTGCTTTCTTCACAGCCTCACCATCAAGTAGATGGTTCAAGTGTAAAGAAACATGAGGGAAGGGGTGCTCTCTGCAGAAGTATTATTGTTATCATTACCCATTTTCCAGATAAAGAAACTGAAGCTCAAAGAGATCGTGGGACTTGCCCAGAGTCACACATCCAAGATGTGCCAGGACCAGCATTCCAATCTGAGGCTCCCAACTTCTGGTCCGATCCTTGCCTCTACAACACTGCCTTCTAAATGACGATCAAGTCATATAGAAGGATTGACTGATCAGACAAAGGCACTAAGGGGCTTCCCTGGGAGCTCTGAAGAGGCTGATCCTGGTAGAGAAAACAGCAAACTCCAAAGCAATTTCTAAGATAAGCTACTGCTATCCACAGGTCTGCAGAGGCAGCCTCCTAGCTGGACAAATGCAAACATGGAGACCCCTTTCTCTGCCTTTCCCCCACTCCCCCTGTCCCCCTCTGTAAGATACACATGTTGGAAAATTATAGCCAAGGTTGGGGGTCAGGGGAAGTAAGGCCAGCCCTCTGCCGCTGCCACTGCCAGAGGATGTTATTCCTGAATGGCAAGCTAGCTACTAGCTGCCTGCTCATACCCACCCCAGCTGGGGGAGAATTTCTGGGCATTCTGAGCTTCATCTCAGCTCAAATTGCTGAATCATTCCTGACCTTCTACAACTCAAAAACTACCCCCTCAGACAACAAAATCAAAGCATTAGGAGAAGCATCTTTGGAATATCAGCTTTTCTGACAGCAAGGGAGAGAGAGCCAGAAGCATTCTTTAGGATCCCTGTTCCTTGTCTCAAAAAAAGGGGGGGGGGGAGAAGTGAGTTATGAGACATTTCTTAATTCCTGCCCCACAGCCAAATCCCCCACCACCCCCCATTTCCCAAAGTATCAAATTCTTGAAATTTTGTTTGAGTTTCAAATAGTGATCTTTTTTTTTAATTGAATTTTCCTCTCTTCTTCTTAAATCAGATCCGGATGAAGCAATAGGTGAGTGGAATTTTCTCCATTCCTTAGCTTAGGATGGTGCAGGCTCCCACCAGATGTGGCCAAGGGCATGCCTGACAGAGTCTGACAGCCCCACAGCTGCTCAGCTGCCACTCATCCCCACAGCAACTGGGAGGCTGAGCTGTGACAAGACCATCTCTTCATAAAAATACCACCACACATCAATGTTTTCAGCTCAGGCACATCCAAATTTGGCAATGGCAGTAGCAGCAGCAGCAGTGTCTGATACATCTGGAGGTGTGTCTGCATTCTCACCCACTGCTCCTGTTTCCCCCAAGCACTACACCCCCTGAGTTGGACTCGGGCAGGTGAAGGATAAGATGCCCTGCAAAAGGCAGCACCTTTTGAGAAGAATCTAAATGTGTGTGCTTCTCGACTTCTTTTAGTCTGTGACACATTTGTGAACTTGTTGAGACATATTGGAGCACTCTAGAGGAAGAAGGTCCCTTATTTCCTTAGCTCCTCAGACCAACTATTCTCAGAGACATTCATCTAATTTCAGCCCCCAATCATGTACAGTAACAAGAGGTCAAACATGATCATCTCAGTCCTTTAGCCCCTGGAAGAGCTGTCACATGGTCTTTCCACTAAAGCCTTGGACTTCACTCCACAGGACCTACCAGAGAATTTTATTGACTCTTACTTAACCAACAGTTCTAATAAACCCAATAATTTAATTTCTCAAGTCATAGAAGATTAGAAGCAGCAAAGGAAAGGGAGTAGGGGCTGGTGCTATTAGAGGCTGGCACAATGGCAGTAGAGGTGACAGCTGACAGCCTGACACTGAAGAGAGAGACAGAAAAACTGAAAGAACACAGAAGTGTATTACTATACAATACAATAATGGATGTTTGTAAGGATGACCCTGAGTCATCAAGAAAAGGTTAAGTTCTATTTAGTATTCTCTATTTAATAAAGTAGACTACAACATATTTTATAAAGATTTCCACTCAAAATTGTTATGGCAAAATAATTTTAACAGTTTTTTTAACAGTTTTCTGATCTTCCCAGCAGTACATAATCTCTATATCCTGAGATTGCTCATATACTGTCTACATCTCTCCTATGCACTTATTACATTCTACCTCGAATTATAGTTACTAGTGACCTTATCATCTCTCTAAGTAGATTACACAAGCTCAGGGACCATGTCGTACTCACTTCTGTATTAATGAATTATGTTCACTGAATTTAATTTAACATGAAAAGTTCAATTATGTGAAACCCTTCATTCCCAGAGAACGCCTGATCATTGAGAAACTGAGCTGGCTCAGCTATCCTTACACATATGCCCACTTCACACACTTGCCAGTTGTGCCCATCCCTCTCTTAACCATGGTTCCTGCCCCTTCTGCCCTGATGTTAAAGTGTCCTGACGATTCAGTCTACAAAACAGTAATCTAAATCCATAGAAAAATATTCACACTTCTCCAACCTCCTTCCTAAGCATCAGGGGAGGAGATACCATAAAGCCTTTGGAAAATGATCTGGTCCAAGCATCCTCCTCCTTCAGGGTCATCATGTCCACACAGCATGTTGCTAAGCCAACAGCAGAATAGATACAGTGTCCGAGATTGTACAGGAAACAGGAGGCTGAGACAGAACCAGAGCTCTTTAGGAAGTGGTGGGAATGAAAACAATATGACTGAATGGCTGTTCCAGGGTGGGACTCAGAAACAACTCCATGTTCTTTTGGCTGAATTCCACCTCAGTTTATCATTAAGACCACTGATGATGGCCATAATAATTATTTTTCATTGACAAGAAAAATAATAATGATGCTAAAGACAATGATACTATTCTGCACTAATAAAGTGCTTTTCCTATCTGTTATCTCATTTGTTACTCAAAATAACTCTGGAATGGAGGTAGAGCAGGTATCACTACCCCTGTACTGCAGATGAAGAAAGCAAAACCCAGAGGAAGTAAGTGATTTACCCAAGGTCATACTGTATGTTAGAGGCCAAACTAGACACAGAACCAACTACAGCATTTATATAAGCACTTGAAGACTTACAAAGCACTTTGCACATAGGATCCTATTTGTTCCTCACAACAGCCCTGTGAGGTAGGTATTATTATTATCCCCAATTTACAGATGAGGAAATTGAGGCCAGGCAAGGTTAAGCGACTTGCCTCAGGGTCACATTGCTAATAAGCATGTGGAGGGATCTGAACTCAGGTCTTCTTGACTCCAAGTCCAGAGATCTATCCACTGTGCCACATGGTTCTGACTCCTCCTCTGTACTCTCCACTAGATTCTGCTGCCTTCCCATTTCTTCCTTAGTTTTTAGGATGGACAACCTTCCCATCTTCTACCTATCACATCCTCCAACCCTCACCCTCCCCAATTTGCTGTTCTGATCCTCAGCCTTACAGTTACATCTTAAGTCTTAAAGTTACATCTTGACTGAACTGGCTGGGTTCCTCACCTCATTCTCGTAGACAAGAAGTTGCGCCTTGCAGAGCAGGAGATATCGGTCTTTCCAAAGTCCCAGGAGGCCCCCACTGCTCTTCTTGATCCATCCAGCCTTATCTGCCATCTGGGCACCCCGGAGTTTTTCACCACCCTCCTTCGTGCCCTGAAATGATAGCAAAGGACACACCCACATGAGGAAGAGACTCCACAGCCAAGTCGGGAGGGAACTTCCCTAATCCCCAACCACTGGCTCTCAATTACCATGGGAGGACAGTCACCATAACACATTGTTAAAACCATAACATGTAACCTGCTGAAATCGAGATGTCAACCATTTTTACATTTGGAAATTTTTCCCAGTAGCTTCTACTGGGCGTTTCCGGATTTTAAATTTTACACCCATCTTTAGCTGACGACTTAAGACTCTCTCAAGTTTGCATGACTGTGTATACCCAGTGTGAGTTTATGTGGGGAAGAGGGGAGGTGTCAAAATCTGGAGGATGCTAGATGAAAATTAGCATTTACTAATTTTGGACACTTTATTATTTACATAAAACTAAAAAGAAAAAGGTCCAATCAAAAGTAAAAGTGGTTGTACCCCTCCTCCTCCTCCTCCTCCTCCTCTTTATGGGTGAGTTCATCTCTTCTGGCCCTATGGAAACAGCCAGAAAAGCTGCCTTTGGAAGAACACACATATGCAAATTTATTTTGTCTCCTGAAATGTTCACAGAGGCACCCTGTTTACAGCAGAGCAGAGCTTTGCCACCCATGAGGAAGAATCTCCCCCTTATACTGCAGAAAGCCCTAGCAGACCCTCTTCAAACACCCCACACCTCTTGGACCTTCTCTTCTGGCATTCATGGATCCCCTTCTGAATCCAAGGCAAAATCAAAGAATCTCATACTATAGGACTCTCTCTTGGGACTTTCTTCCAAGGTCATTTCTCTGACTTAGAACCTGCTGTCTTATTGAGTTGAACCCCATACACAAAGCCCCTGAAGCTCCCCCAGCCCCACCCCTGGTTCTTGACCTCTTTCAGGGAAGCAAGAGATACTTTTAGGGTTCTCAGTTTCACCAGTCCAAGATCTAACTGGCACTATGTCCCTCAGGCAGAATATCTCACATGGAGGACAGCAGGGGAGGCTTGTTATCACCCCACCCCAAGCATCTCTACCTAATTTCTGGGATAGAACAACCCCAGTGCTTCAAATGAAAGAAACAAGTTACTTGAATATTTCAGTGCTTAAGTAGCTCATATTTGTAAAGTGCTTGACAACATACCAAGCACTTTCCTCACATAGTCCTATGAGATAGGTCATGTTTTTAGTATTTTTTTTAACATTCACATGTCACAAAGGAAGAAATTGAGGTTAAGGGACTTGCCCATAGTCACATGGTTGGGCAGTCAGAGAGACTCAAACTAGGACCCTGCCCTTCTGACACCATGTCCAATACTCTTTCCTCTACATTATACTGCCTCTCTTTGCACTTGGAGGAATGAAGAAACAGAAGAATTCATCCAGAAGCACAGCCCTCTTAGGCAAGTTCTCTAGCTTGCAAGCTCTTCTGAAAGGAAACAAGAAGGCATCCTACCCTAGTCTATCTCCCCACCTCCATCTTACCCCCAACTAATTCAAATACTAGATAGTCCCAGAATCTGGCCTTGGCCTGGAAGTCTAGAAAGTAGGACCTAATCCCAGTTCTTTATCAAATGAACAGTGGAACCCTCAGATTTCCCCCTAGTAATTTTGGAACATAGGTTACCAAGACATGACCCAGGCTATTATGAGTTTATATCATCCAGGAGAAGTCTGATTGGGAAAAGGAGATGGGCCAATTATGCAACACTAGTGAAGGACTGCCCAAATGTTGAACCCATACGGAATGGAAGCTCCTTGAGGGCAGGGACTGCTTCCCTTTGGATTTTTACATCCTCGGTGCTTTGTACAGTTACCCAGCACTCAGTAAACACTTAATAAATGCTTGATTGATGCTTGTTGACTGAAAAGATGGACTCCAACTCATTGAATGAACCCCCAGTGGATCAAGAGTAACTCAAGATGAGAAGGCATGGAATGTTTTCACTCTGTACTATAGGAGACAACTTCCACATTGAGATCATGGCTCCATGACAATAAAGCATCAAGACAATGAGGCCAGGCTACTTCTCCAAGGACTTATCAGGCTGTGTAACTACCAGATAGATGACATTTCTGTAGGGATACAGTACAGTTCCAGTGTATAAACCCAAGAAGAAATCCAGGTCCCCCTCCACTGCCCACACATAGAAAAGAGGCAAGCAGAATTTTAAAACTGCATTTTTGCATTGCCTTGTTCCTCTCTGGGTTTCTGATGATCTGACTTCAGATCCAATCCTCCTGGGATAGCAGTGGAATCAGAACAGCTAGGGACAGGGTAGCAGCAACCACGATTTCAGCAAGATCAGGTTCCAACAACTACTGAATGCCTAGCTGTGGGTGATGCAGGAGATGTCTTATGATACAGTCTCTTCTCAACAAGCTTACAATCTAGCTGGCATAGAAACGAGAAGGCATGGAAAGGCTCACACCATGTTACCATAGGAAGCAATCTTGGAAATAGGATTAATGCTTGGGAAACAATTACCTTGCCACACAAGACAGGGTAAATGTGGTGCTAGATTGTGTGGCATAGACTGGATGCTAAAGGAATTCACAGCAAGAGGAAATCCAACAGGGTCAGGAAAGACTTCATGGACAAAGTATCTCTTTCCTCATTAAGCTCTAGTCCCACCTTCTCCATTAAGCCTTGGAAAGAGCACTGAACCTGGAGTTAGAGGACACGGATTCCAATGCCAGCTCCAAAGCTTACTACCTACTCTCTGGACAAGATATTAACTTCTCTGGGCCTCAGTTTCCTCATCTGTAAAAGAAGGAGGATAGTCTACTCTCAGTGATCTCTAAGATCCCTTCCAGCTCCAAATCCAAGATCCTACCACTCCAGCCCATGGGGATTTCTCCCTCCCCTGAACACTTACTGAATTTACTTTTTTATACTGTTCATTTTGTCTTTTAGCATATGAAGTTTCAGGAGGTTATTTGGTTCATATCTTATCTTCCTAAGTAGATTATAAACTCCTTGAAGCAGGGAACCACTTAGGATACATCTTTGTATTGTCTTTCCCTGTCCCCCTCGAATGCTGGGCAAACTAGAGGAACAAATAATTCACAAGTATTAGACAGGGAGTATGCTGGTAAAATGTTTAACAACCAGCTCTTTATGGGGGGAAGGTGTACAAGACGCACTTTTACTTTTACTCCACGTTATTAAAATTTTTCCATCCTTTTCTTAAGACTAGACAATCAGTAAAACAATAAATCAAGTCCTGCTTTGTAGTGTTTACCGATCTTTATCAAAGATTCCAAAACTAGATACTAGGTACTAGATAAATTAGAGATGGTCAAAGCTAGGGTGAGGGGCTACTGGAATGCCTATAGTAAGGTGGTTAGTACAGAATGTTAATACTGAAAAATGCAGTGTTGCTTCATAAATGTGGATCAAACCAATCTACTGTGCCATGGAAAGAAGTGGCAGGATTTGTGGTGAGAAGACCTGAGTTTGAATCCTGGCTCTGCTGTATCCTAGGGATGAAGCCCTTGGTGAGCCACTTCAGCTTTACAGACTTCAGTTTCTTCATGTGTAAAATGTGGCGTGCAGACCACAAGAGGGCTGAAGTGGCTACCAGCTCCAAATCTGTAAGCCTATAAGGTAGGACTTAAGTTAGGCCTTGAAGGACATGTAAGATTGTAGAATTTAGAAGTGGAAGAGACATCAGGGAACACTTCGTCTAGCCCTCTCATCCAGAAGAAATTGGGAAACTGAGGTCCAGGAGGTGACTTATCCAAGGTCATACTCTGGCATACTCTGCCAAAAAATAAGCAACACTTGAACGCAAGGCCTCTGACTCCAAATCCAACACATTCTTCATGTTCTGCCACAGACTTAACCTAGTAGAATGAGGAAAGGACAATCACAGGAAACAGCATGACCCAGTGTAGGAAGGAACGTCTTTTATTATCACACATCATCATCATCATCCCCACACATCACACATGGTCCCCCCCCCTTTGCAGATGGCTCAGTGTGGATATGCTCTGTTCCTGCTGTCACTCTGTTCCACCTGCCTCCTCCCTTTTCCTCCTCCCCCTCAGAGCCACCCTCCCCCCTACTCCATGAGGTCAGGGGATTGGCAATGCACCCGGAAGTTTTAATAAGCCATCCCCTTTCCTTGGCGCAGCAAGCCACTGCCACAGTAGAGGCTTTGTCCTTCTCAGCCTAGTTTCACGGCTGCCTCTCCTCTCACTCACTGACCGGCTGACCACGGTCTTTTCTGTTTTTCCCTTCCTCTTCCCTCCTCCCAATCATCAGGTCTCCATGGAATCTTTTGAGTACACTTTGGGTACCTTCTGCTACATCCCAACCACTCAGCATCAGGACTCCTATTCTTTCCCAGGGGCATCTTAGAGCCAAAGACAAGATGCCACCATAACCACTACAAGGTGGTGGGCCAGAGTGGCCAAACTGCATATTCTGCTAAACAAAAAAGTGGTAGATAGCCATGGACAAGGCTTAATGTTCAGAGTGATAGCCTTAAATTGGTTACACAGTGCCCCTATACACTGAGCTTCCTTTAGTCAAATACAACAAGTTTTTAACCTGATAGGTACTGGGTAAATTAGAAATGGCAAAGGCTAGGATTAGATGCTACTAGAATGCCTAAAGTCAAGTCTGAAGGAAAGTGGGGGAAACTACTTCCTGTAGGAGTTAAGTTCTGAGCGTTTCTGAAGGTAGAAAGGGACATACTTTGGCAATCGTAAGGGTGAGGACACATCAAAGACAGGAAAGGTTCCCAGGTAAATCATCATACAACATTAAAGCTGGGAAAAAATCTCAGAGATCATAGAATATTCTTAAGACATGGAAAGAAGCTTATTGCCAATTTCAAACCCTCATTTCATACAACAGGAAATAGAGACTACAGAGATGAAGTGATTGGCCCAAAATTCTACTAAGTAACAGAGCTGGCACCTAGAACCTCAGTCAATCTGTCCAGTGTTCCTTCTACTACACAACACAGCCTCTGCAAAAAGGGAAGAGGTCTGCGGGAAACAGTAAGACTAGAGCAAAGAATACAAACCAGACAAAGCCAATGGGTTAGAAAAAGACATACCGAGGAATTGAAATTTGATTTAGAAGAAACTGAGAGGAGACAAGTTTCTGGGAAAGGGAGTGGCAGTATCAAAATGATGCTGAAGGGAGACTTTCTTCACTTCCCTATACAAGATGAAGAGGAAGCTATATCGTCCAGGTATGAGGAGATGGAATCCTGAATTAGGCCTGTGGTTGTGAGCCTGAGGAGGAGAAAGTTAGAGCTGAGAAATAATTTAGGATAAAAATGATCAGGATTTGGTACCAAGGTACATATAAGGGAGGAGATAGAAAGTGAAAAGATAAAGAGGCATTGAAGATCACTTCCAAATTTGGGTGGAGGGGATGAGGGATGAGGACTCCACTGGCAGTGACCAAAATGGTAGATGGGAGGATAAGGGAAAAAGATGAATATGGTATTTTCACTTTTTTAGTTTTAGTTGTTATCTTTAATGGGGAACAGGTTGGGTTGAGAGTCTCTCAGCATCCAATTGAGATAGTTTGGGGGCTGGCTCCCAAGACCCTCTCTAAAGAGGCCTGAAAACAACCTGAAAAGTTGTTTATTTCCTTGCCAGTCAGCTCCTGTCCCAACTATCCACTGGCAGGAAACGAGATCATCCTCTCCTAACACTGGCCATGCTGCCCCAACTCACCAAGAACTGTTTGGAGATTCAAGCAGAAGAAAAGACTATTTAACCTGGAAGGGATCTAAAAGAGTATGGGCAAGTCACTTAACCTTTTTGGGTCTCATTGTTATTATCTGTAGAAAGAAAGGGCTGAATTAGATGACCACTAAGGTCCAGCTCTAAGTCTATGATCCTAGAAACCATCTCACTTTACAGTTGAAGACACTGTAGTCTAAAGAAGAAAAGTACTATTCCTTCTTCTATTCCCTTTTCCAGATCCTCCAACTGTTAGGCACCCCCAAGACATTATCTTGCATTTATTTTTATATATGCTTTCTATTTATTAAAATGTTTTCCCTATGGAACCTGAGTTCTGTGAGGACAAATATTTGGTTTTTGTCTTTGTAAACTTTATCACTTAGCATAGTGCCAGGCACACAGTAGGTACTTAAGAAGCCTACTATGTTGCCCAAGGTTACAGAATGAATGGCAGAGAAGGGACCAGAGTCTTTCCAATACCAGTCTAGTGTCTAACCATGGTGCTATCCTTAAAGACATGACATGAGACAGCAGGCAGGAAAGACAGCTATTTCTCTGATCAAACAATCATTTCCAGCTGATCATATATGAAAGGTTTCTGGCCTAAGTCAGTCAGGATCTTGGTATGCTGAACTCACTTCAGCCAGGGGTTAGGAGCTTGGGCTCAGGGAATACCAAGGACCATTATGGCACCACTAGACTTCTCCTAATTCCATAAGGATTCAACATCTTGACCACGAGGGCTCAGGCCACCCTGGCCAAGAGAAAGGAGCCAAATTCTTAACCCATCTCTAGCCTCCTACCTCTAAGCTCTTGCTTTCTGTTTTTCCTGGAATCTGAGACTCCAGATTTCCTCTCAATGGAAGATTAAGAAAGGTCAAGTAAGCTCCCATCTGAAATCTACCTCCAATTACCTAAATAATAGGAATTCTCTTCCCCACATCCCCAAGCCACCATGACCCTTCTAGGTAACAAATTCTAGGACGCTTTGCACTTTATCTGTCTCTGATCAAAAGGCTTGACGAAATTCTGAACCAAGTTGGGAAAAGGGCTGTGGCCTGCCATCAGGGCTGACACTTCTCTCCCACTGCCACCCTCCCCCTCTCTACTTTTGTTCCAGCTCTCTTTCCTACAGGGAAGCTGTTCCTCACACCCTAAAGACTGAGGAAAGGAGAGGGGGAAAGGGGGTCACCAAAAACCTAAGACATCATCTGCAGCCGTATGGGTCTGTCTGTCTGCTCAGCCAAGGGAAACAACGACTCAGGCTACCCACCACAGTCTTGTTAACAGCCTCTGCCCTCCTCCTTCCCCCCAACCCCACCACACGGTGTCCCTTAGACAGATGTGGTCCGGTGGGTGGGGCTACATAAAGGACCTCTTTCTGGGTAGAAAAAATGCAACTTCTTGGCCAATCCTCACCCCTGAGCTTGAGGAGGGTGTATGTCAAGAAGCACCCTTCCCAAAACCTCTCCGTACCAGGCAGGCTCCCTTCATCTACTAAGATATATAGTTACATTGGCTCAGATCTCTGTTATATCTGGCAGGCTAGATTCCCCCAACAACCTCTTAGAACTTATAAAGGCTCCCTTCCACTGCCAGACACCCCCTTTACTGTCAGACACAAACACAGAGGGTGTTGTTTCTCCTACCACAAGAGTAGAGTTGAATTTCGGGGACCCCAGCAAGCTCTTCCCCTACCCTGAATTAGGAGGTGGTCCACACCTTAAGAGTCCGAGTCGAGGGTGACGGAGGCAGAAAAAGAGGGGTAGCCAGATCTGGGCATAGAAGAAGCCACCCACCCACCCTACACTCCCTCTACTCCGAGGATTAGCAACCCTTCATGTCTTCGAAGGCATCCTCACCCGAGCCAGCCGAACCACTAGCCTCCCGCCCCCGCCCTTCCTCCCGGTCTGTTCCCCGAACTCTCCCTCGACTCCCACGGTCGGTCTCGCCCCAGTCAGCGGATCCGGCGCCCCTGCCCGGTGCCCACAGCCCTGAGCGGAGCCGGGCTCACCGGGTGCCCGTCTCAGTCGCCGCCCCTCCGGGCCAAGGGGAAGACAGATAACACGGCTAGGACCGAGGAGCCCCGGGCAGAGCCGAGGGAGGGGTCCAGGACGACCCTGGCCCAGGCCATGGAGCCGCCTGGGGTTGGAGCCCGACGGCCGGAGCCGGGCAGGGACGCGCCCGTCCCCCCGAGGCCGGGCTCGACAGCCGCCGCTCCTCCCTCCCTCCCTCCCGGGGGGCCCCCTGCCGCCAGCCTCACCTCCTCCTCCATGGCCGGGCCGAGCGGGAGGCGGGGGGAAGGGGGGAACGGGCGGGCGGCTCCCGCTCCTGCCGCTCCGCCCCGGGAGTCACTAGCCCGTCCGCCGGGGAACCCCTGCGGCTCTGCTCACCCCCATCCTGTCCGGGCGGCGGCTACTCTGTCTGTCCCGCCCGCAGCTCGCCCAGAAGAAGAAAGTTCGGCGGGGGGCGGAGCCGGAGGCGGGGAGAGATTTCTGGGGCCGGGGCGGGACTGGGGGCGGGACAAGGGGGCCGGGAGGGGTTGGTAGGGCCAGAGTCGGGGTGGGACCGGACTCTGGGCGGGGGGGGGCGGGGGAGAGTGTAGGGATGACTGGGGCCGGGAAGAGTTGTTGTGTTGGTGGGGATGGAGCCTGGGCGGGGCCAGGGAGGGACGATGTGGGGGTCGGGATGTGTTAGTGTATTGATGTGGCCGGAGCCTGGGCGGGGCCAGGGCGGGACGAGGTGGGGGTCGGGATGTGTTAGTGTATTGGTGGGGCCGGAGCCTGGGCGGGGCCTGGAGGCGGGACCGAAGGGGCCAGGAGGGGATGTGGGGCCGAAGCCGAGGAGGGGCAGGGGCCGGAACCGGAGGCGGGGCGGGCCCTTTCTTTTTTCTGGGCTCTTCCGCGAGCCAGAGGCTGGGGTGGGATATAGGATGGGGGACCGTGGATGCACGGCCGCAGTCTGAAGCCACCTGTCTGGAGACAAGCCTGGATTAGGGAGACGGAGAGGGTTCCGGAACCCACCCAAAATTCGTGCTGGGGTCGGGACGGGGGCTGGAGATGGATGGCCAGAGACTAAGGATGAGGGTAAACCAGATAAATCTAAGACGGGGCTAGCCCCTGCATGGGCTGAACCAGGCGGAGCTAGAAGGGGCGGAGTCGATGCTGCCGGAGTTTAAACTCCGGCTGGTCACCTCCTGAGACGTGACTCTAGCCCGGCCGGTCATCCCCCTCCTCTTTCTTCTAGCCTGTCTCCTCCTGGTTGGCTGGTCCTGGGACCCGCCGGCAGCGCCTCTTTGGCTCTGGGTACCACTCGCTGCTTTCCTCCGTCTAATCAGAGTAGTGGTCTAGGAGGAGGAAAGCAAAGAAGAGAGCGTTGGAGGCAGAAGAAGGCTGGGTAAGCTTAAGAGTTAAAGCAGGGGCCTGTACGGCTTCTCTTTGCAGTGGGTTGCATCAATTTGGTCACCTCCCTCCCAGGCCTGTCAAAGATCAGGGAATTAGGACACCTGGATTCTTTTGGCAGGTGAGGCTCTGACTCAGTGTCTTTCAGAGCTTGACTCTCCTTCGTGGGCCTCAATTTACCCTGATACACAGGCAATGCTATATAGTGGAAAGAGAGTTAAAATTGGAATTAGGAGAAACCAGGTTGCCAATCCGGCTTCTTAGCACTTAACCTGTTTTGTAACCTTGGACACAAGTCATTTAACCAAACCTCAGTTTCCTCATTTGTAAAATGGTAACAGCAACAAGTACCTATAGTGGTTGTTTCTCAGGGTTGCTGTGAGGATTAGATGAGATAATAAAGTGCCTTGCAAACATAAATGATAACTATTATTACAATGTAACTTAGACAAAAGGAACTCTGGAAGCAGGAACAACTGGACTTCCGGAGGCCTGGGCAATTCAATCTAAGATCCTTTCAGGTGTAACTTTATATGGTTTTCAGTGAGGCTGTAGCCAATTGGAGTCCTCCTCTCTCTCCTCTTATCAGAAGCTGGTTCATGCTCTTCCTTCCAAGTTGGTCCCCAAATAAGACAACCACTTTCCAAATGAAATCCCTCCCCCTCCAGCCACAAAACATCGTGTCATGCTCTTTTCTTCTCCCCCAGCAGACGTGTCTTCCTTCTCATCTCTCAAGCTGCTTGGACACAAGCTGGCATTCTCTTTGGGGGTTTAGCATTGTCCCATCATTCCCATTGCCAAGACTTTCTCATCACACAATTCCACCATGGGACTTGCTGAACAGTGCCAGCTGACATTTAGAATCTCTGGGAGACTGTCATCACAGAAAGGGTTAAGTCAGACTTGCAGGATCAGTTGTGACCTCCTTAGCCTCTTCCACAGCAGCAACCTTATACAGTAGTTGGGTCTCAACTTCCACCTCTGCCCTTTCCCAGACAACTGTCTCTCCCCAGCTGGGCCCTGGTCACCCTGACCTGCTTTCAGGCTTGTGTCCTGAATGGGCAGTTTGAGGACCTGATGCCCCAGAGGTAACAGTGCCTCTGGCCTGGTGTGTCACATGAAGAATAAAGATGAGAAAGCACCCCACTTTCAACTCTCAGGATAGATTTGGGCCATCAGAAAAAGGCTGAGAGATCACTGAGCCTGTTGACCCATGGCATGTGAGGAAGGTGGGAAGCTGTAATGACCTGGGCTCCTGGACAGAGGCGGGTGTTTTGTCCTGTGGAGAGCTTCCACTCCTTTTTTTTCTTTTTCCCTCCAACCCCAGAAAACCCCAACTTGATATCATGGGAACATAGATTTAGAGCTCCAGGGATCTTAAAAGTTATTTGCTCCACCTCTTCATTTTGCATATGAAGAAACTGACACCCAGAGAGGTTATCTCACTTGCCTTCCTCTCTAGTGCTTAGAATCCTACCACCCCTTCAGAGCACATCTCAGATGCCACCTTTGTCACCCTCCTGACCCCAATGATCCTTTCTTTCTCTGAAGCGGAGCACCTATACCACTCACTTCGAACCCCCTCTTTATTGCCTTCCACCTGTAGTTATCTTTTTCTTTGGAGATCACTTGTCTCCCCAACTAGTTGGTAAGTATGCCCTTTGAGAGCATGGATCATGTTTAGGTTCCTGTATCTCCAGTAGCCTGCACATTGAGGACACTCAGTAAATGTTTTTTGATTGACAGGATGCTGAGACAGTACTAGGGGAAGCCTGCTGGGTATTTGCTAATGAACACATCCAACACAAATTTTCCAATACCTAAGCTTTTCGTTGCTGTTTTTCCTCAAGTGCTTAACAGGTCTGAATTGTTCTGGTGCCTCTTGTGTTTGTTGCAGTGTCTGTTGAAGAAAATCCAGCCTGGGATATCAGAGGAAGCCAGGCCTGTCGCAAGCTGATGCAGGCACCATGTGGTTTTATTTTTCTCAGTCTCCAGCCTTATGCAATCATTGCTCTGCCCTCTGATCCTGCCTTGGGTTTTAGACATGCTGGGTTGCTGCTTGGGCCTTGAGCTTCAAGGGTTGAAGTCACCGAAGGGAAATGGAGTCTGGGACCTAGGAGTCAAAAGAGCTCATGTCTGTGTCCTGCTCTGCACCATGACTCACTTTGTGAACTTGGGCAACTCACTGGTCTTCCACATTCCACATCCAACAATCTATCGATCACAGCACAATGCCTCTCCCAAACCCCTCATTTTGTCATTAAAGCGAAGGCTCAGTTCTGATTTTCATGCTGAACATGGAATCTGGAAGATAACGATTCAAATCCTACCTGAGACAGTTATTTGTTATGTGACCCAACTAATAACTCTAGTGCTTAGCACACAGAAAATTATTTTACTAGTGCTGGTTGATTTGACTTGGCTTGACTTGATCCTCTGCAAATCATTTAACCTCAGTGGATCTCATTTTTCTCATCTGCAAAATGAGGAGGTTGGACTTGTGATCTCTAAAGTCCCTTCTGGCTCTCAATCAGGTGTTCTTAATCTTTTTTTTGTGTCCTGGATCCTTTGACAGTCTGGTGAAGCCTATGGATTCCTTCTCAGAATAATGTCTTGTTAAATGTGTTAAATGCAGAAAATAAAATACCAGAGATTACAAAAGAAATCAATTATATTGAAATATAATTATTAAAATATTCTTTAAAAAAACTTAAGTTCACAGACCCCAGGTGAAGAGCCACAGCTCTAAATCAATGATCCCATGACTAAGGTTCCTTCCAGCTATTATGTTCCATGAGTCCCTATCTTTTAGGAAGCAAAGGATGCCTGAAAAGGCACCAAAGGAAGCAGAAGTTGCTTCCCTCCTCATCCCCTGCAGTTGCCTCACAGGATATTATAGCACCTCTATAATCTGACTGGTCAGAACACATCTAGACTATTATATTCAGCTCTGTGAAGCCCATTTTAGTTGGAGCATTGATCTATTGGAGATTGTCTGAAGGAGATTGATCAGGATGAAGAGAAGCATCCAGTGCATGCCATTTGAAGGCTAGCCAAAGGAACTGGGGATGCTTAACCTGGAAAATAAAAGGCTTAGTGGGGATATAATAGCTGTCTTCAAGTAGGTAAAGGGTTGTCACATGGAAGAAGGATTCAACTTCAATTTGTCAAACATTTACTAAGTGAAGACTATGAACACAAAGACAAAACTAAAATAGTCCCTGCCCTCAAAGAGCTTGCCCTCTACTGTAGATGGTAATGGTACAGTGGGAGGTCTGCAGGCTTTGGCATCAAAAGATCTGGATTTGATCTCAGATCTTCTGTTTATTATCTATGTTGGACCTTTGCCTCCAATGTCCCTTCCAGCTCTAAAATCTATGTTCTTGTGGTACCATGTGGATACGCCATATACACAGGTAAGTAAACAGTAAATAACTTCAAGAGAGGAAGTGCTACCATCTGGGTCATTGAGAAAGGGCCCTTCTGTAAGAAGTAACACCTGGATTGAGCCTTGAAAGAAGCAAGGGTTACAACAAAGGTGATGAGAGGAGGAACAAATTCCAGACAGACTTGGGTAGAGGAAAGAGGAAAAAGACTTCAAGTCAGGAGATGGAAGGAAGGAAGAAAGACTAAGGGAGGGAAGGAAGTATTAAGTATCCACTATGTGTCAGGCACTGTGCTAAGTGTTTTATAAATATTATTTCATTTGATCCAACAACCCTGGGAGGTAGGTGACATTATTATCCCCATTTTACAGAAGAAGAGAAGAACTAGTAGCAATCACTGGAAGTTTCATGGAGGCAAACTAAGGCTTGACATAAGGAAAAACTCCCTGACAATTCTATCTCTCCAAAAGTGGAGTGGGCTGCTGTCAGAGGCATCAGGTTCCACCTTCACTTGAAGTTTTTTTAGCAAAGGTTGGATGCCCACTTGCTAGGTGTGTTATAAAGGGCATTCTTTTCAAGGATGGCCTGGACTAGATGGTCACTGAGGTATCTTGTGTCTCTGAAATTCTGTAATTCTGTGACTAATAG